AACACTATGCAGGGTCGCTATAAGTCGGAACTGACTCCACGGCACATAACAACAACAACAAACAATTGCTAATAAGAAGTGTTGTTGTTGTTATGTGCCGTGGAGACGGATAGCGACCTTGTACAGGGTTTCCAAGGCTGTAAATCTTTAAGGGAGCAGAAAGCCTCTTCCTTCTCCCGCTGAACAGCTGGTAGTTTCAAACTGCTGACCCTGAGATTTGAAGCCCGATTTGTAACCACTACGCTACCAGAGCTCCTTATAAGAAATAGTACACTGTAGTAATTGATGACCCTGTGCATTTCGTGAGTTTCTCAGAATACTATATTGAAAATTGATTTAGCTCTGCAGGAATGAAGACTAAAGTTCTGAGGGGAAAAAATCTTAAAGCAAGAATTGTATTTTGCAGTTCATGTATGTATTATTTTTGTGTATCATCACACATTTTATAACCTGATAGGTGATATTTTGGAAAGAAACAAGAATTCCCTTCTCGAAAACAATGTACAAAGTGCATTTTATTACTCAGTTGCACTATTTTTTTCTAGAATTTATCCTCATAATTTCAAATGTATATTTTCTGTTAATTTCGTTGGAAAATAGTACCTACGAGAGTGTTATGTCCCAGGGTAGACACTTTGTTTTACCATATAAATTCTGATTTTTACTGCGAAAAGCCACCAAAGTATATCTCTCATGGGTTTGAATTAGATTAGGTAAATTCTGCATTTCAGAGCCATTGAATTTCTCACATGGAGCAGCTTCAGGTTATTCAGTAAATAAAGCAGAATTCTGGTGTGGGCCTGTGGGGTAATGCACTGGATTTCAAAGTCGATTTGAACCACAAGGTCAGCGGTTCAAGCTCACCAACCACTCCTCAGAAACCCTATACAGGGTTGCTATGGGCCAGAACCGACTCAACAGCACTTAACAAAAACAAACCATATTGTCAGAACCAGAATCTGAAGCAACTGGCCCTGTGTATCAGCCTTTCATTATTTTGAAACATGTACAAATTTACAAAATTAATTGGGAGAAGAAAATAATTGTGAAAGGATTAATGGAGGCATCTATATGGAGGTGAGAGGCAAAAACAATTATCTTTCCATATTGTGTGCAAGGACCTAATGGAGAGATTGATTAATTTGTTGAAAAGAGTCAACATCTAAGAAATGAATGAACCCCCTGCTTTGGAACCAGTTACACAGAAGCAGTGAGAATGGTGAATTGTAAGATATTTACTGGTTTGTTTCTTCACAGCAAGTGTTTCCTTATGAACTGCAGGCCTACACCATTTTACTATGCTTAGTAGATACTGCATTTCTGAAAAATTGAAGGTTTGTAGCAACCCTGCATCGAACAAGTGCATTTGTACCATTTCTACAGCAGTAGGTGTTCACTTCATGTCTCTGCATCATCGTTTGGTAATTCTCACAATATTTCAAACTTTTTCATAATGTACATTAATTAGACTACATAAGTTATACACTTACTAATGTAAAGATAACTTTCATATACACCAGGAAACCGCCCCCCCCCCAAAAAAAAAAAAATAATAATAATAATAAACCCGTGTGACTCACTTTACATTTGCTTGACTGCAGTAGTCTGGTATCAAACCTGAATTATCTCTGAGGTATGTTGTTGTTGAGTGCCATCAGGTTGATTCTGACCCATAGCGACCCTGTACAGGGTTTCCGAGGAGTGGCTGGTGAACTTAAACCAGAAGCTTGAGGCTGAGATATGCTTGTAGATAATAGATGGTAATTTTTAACAACTGCAATGTTGATCACCAAGAGGTCATCCTAAATGGTGCTTATGCCTCACCTAAATAAGGCTAGCATAACTAGTAGATAATAGAAGTCAAGCATTGTGCTGTTTTAGGGTCAGTAGGGCAGTGGGCACTTTAGGATCAGCACTGGATTGCAAACCACAAGGTTGGCAGTTCAAATCTACCAGTTACTCTTCAGAACCCTATACAGGGTCACTATGAGTCAGAACCAATTAGGTGGAACTTAATAACAAAAAGGGCAATTGGATAATGGCTTGGGTCAGGAAACAGTTCAAGAAAGGAATAGAACACAAATGAAATACTTAGCATTTGTTGAGAAAAGAATTAACTTAAAATTCTTAAATCCTCAATGATGTTCTCTTATTACTAAAAGCTATGTACTTTCTAGTGATTTAGCATGTAAGCCTTAAGTTTAAATATTAAAGGATTCTAAGGGTGTGATACTGCAGCATAAGCACTGGACCTCAAGGTCAGTTTGAACCACAAGGTTGGCAGTTCAAACTCACAAGTTGCTCCTTGGAAATCCTATAGAGGATCGCTATGAGTAGGAACCCACTTGATGGTACTTAGCAACAACAAGAAGGAGAAAATTTTGCATCATGCAGGAAATATCAAGAGAAGATGGAAGGAATACAGAGTTACTGTACCAAAATGATAGACGTTCAACTATTTCAAGAGGTAGCAAATGATCAAGAACCAATGTTATTGAAGGAAGAAGTCCAAACTGCATTGAAGGCATTGACAAAAAACAATGCTCCAGGAATTGACAGAATACAGATTGTAATTTTTCAACAAATGAGGTGCTTACTCATCTATGTCAGGAAATGTGGAAGACAGATACCTAGACAACCAACTAGAAGAGATGCACATTTATGCTGCTCATTCCAAAGAAAGACAACTCAACAGAATGTGGAACTCATCAAATAATATGCCATGCAAGTAAAATTTTGCTGAAGAAAATTCAAAAACAGTTGCAGCAACACATTTGCAGGGAACTATGGAAAATTCAAACCAGATTCAGATTAAGAAATGAGGACTATAATTGCTGAAGTCAGGTGGAAAACAGAGAATACCAGAAAGATGTTTACTTATGCTTTACTGACTGTGCAAAGTCCACCTTAGTCATCTGTGTGAATTATAGCAAATTATGGATAGCATTGTACATAATGGGAATTTCAGAAAACTTCATTAAGTGTATAGGAATCTGCACAGAGAAAAAGAGCAAGTAGTTTGAATAGAACAAGGGAATACTGGATGGTATAAAATCAGGAAAGGTGCTTATTCAGTCTGTATGCTGAACGAGTAATCTGAGAAACTGGAGTATATGAAGAAGCAGCACGTCTTCAGGATTGGAGCAAGACTCGGTAACAATCTGCAATATGCAGATGACACAACTTTGCTTGCTAGAAGCAAAGAAAACTTGAAGTACTTACTGATGAAGATCAAGGGCCACAGCCTTCAGTATGGGTTTCACCTCAATGTAAAGAACACAAAAATCCTCACAACTAGACCAATAAATAGCACTATAAAAAATGAAGAAAGATCAAAGTTGTCAAAAATTTCATTTCCTTGTATCCACTATCAATGCTCCTGGAAGCAGCAGTCAAAAAATCAAATGACATGTTGCTTTAGGCAAATCTGCTGCAAAAGAGCTCTTTAAAGTATTAAAGAACAAAGATGTCTCTTTGAGAACTAAGGTGTCCCTGACTCAAGCCATGGTATTTTCAACTGCTTCATATGCATAGGAAAGCTGGACAATGACGAAAGAAAACCAGAGAGGAATCAATGTATTTGAATTAAGATGTTGGCCAAGAAAATTGTTAAGTACTATGGACAACCAGAAGAACAAATAATTCTCTTTTGAAAGTACAGCCAGATACCTTTCTTCTTAAAAAAAAAAAAAGAAAGAAAGAAAGAAATTACAGCCGATTGTTCCTTAGAAATAATAATGGTGAGACTTTGTCTCTAGTACTTTGAACCTCTTGTCAGGAAGGACTAGTCCCTGGAGAACAACATCATGCTTGGTACATTAAAAAAGAGGGAGCTCCTCAAGGAGGTGAATTGACACAGTGGCAACAAGACGTGGTAATGTTTCTTTCTTTTGTATTTAGGGTCACTATGAATCCAAACCAATTTGATGACACTTAACAACATATGTATGCAGTGCTTAAGCAAGCCTGGTTAAAGTGTGTGGCTGTAACCAATAGGGTAATAATTCTAAACCATCAGCTGCTTCTCAGGAATTTGACAGTCACATGGTTTACTATGCCAGGAATGACAAATTGAAGAGGAATGGAGTCACATTCATCATCAAAAAGAACATTTCAAGATCTATCTTAAAGTACAATGCTATCTGTGATAGACTAATATCTACATGCCTACAAGGCAATCAGTTAATATCACTATTATTCATTTATGCACCAACCACTAAAAGAAGTGATAATGAAATTGAATAATTCTACTGGCTTATTCAATCTGAGATTGATTAAACATGCAATCAATATGTATTGATAATTACTGATTAGAAGCAATGCAGAAGGATCAGTAGTTGGAAAATAATGTCTTGGTGTTAGAAACAGTGCTAGATATGGCATGATAGAATTTTACAAGACCAGTAAATGTCCTCATTGCAAATACCTTTTTTAAAAAATATAAAAATTAACTCTACACATGGGCCTCACCAGATGGAATACAAAGAAATCAAATTGACTACATCTGTGGAGAGACACTGGAAAAGCTC